TTTTTCTTTCTTTTTTTCTTATTTTTTCTCTTTTTTTTTAGGGGGGAGTGTAAATCCGCCCCTGAATGGCATCAACCACAGTAACATAGAACAAGTTTATTTGCTTTATTGACGCAACATTGTACTGTTGCAAAAGTAAGCAGACAACAAAGATCTTTTTTAGGGGTCAACAATAACAGATGTTTATAGAATACACTTTTCATCAGTCACTCATTATAATTAATACAAACTGGACAAAACAACCACACAAGAAATAGCTCAGGGGTAAATCTACCAACATCAGAAAAAACAAACCTGTATAAAAGTCCATGGTATAGTTTGATTTATAATCGCCTGCTACACATTGGATAGAGCTTTAGAAGCTACAAATATATGGCCCATTATGTTATAAACTATACAATGGGTTTTAAAGTTTAATGGTGTGAATATTTACCCAGTGTCTAAACTAGTTGATGCCATGACATACATCTAAACCAAGCTAAACCAGTTTAATGGCATGACATCATAGCAACAGTCTAAACTTGTTTTATGGCTAAAAACATACCAAATGCCAATGATGTTAATACACCTAGAGCTAGATGCTATATGGAAGATTATCTTTGATCAGAATTAATAGGCATTTGGGAATGAAACATCCGACTAAAATTGTCAAATTTCATTACAAAAATGGATTCCAAAATTGTGCCTCACTCCTACACTCACTTGCTCCACTTACATTAAATAAATCTACATAAATATAAGGCTTCTACTCATCCAGGGAAGCTTAATAGCAGTTGATATCCTTCACATTAAAACTGAGTACATCCATGTCAATCAAATATTATCTTCCTTCAGTACTACACTTTTTCTGAATATAAACAATAAAAATTGCATTCTTTTTTTTTTCTTTTTGAGAACAATGCCGAGATAAATAACATTCTTTAACAAAACCACTTACTATAAAACTACTGTTTTCAAAATTGTGGATTGCACATCAGATAAATGTTTTTAAAACCAATGTATAACATATTAAAATCCTAAAACCATAAAAATACAAAAGCAATATTAAATCTTATTATTGAAATATTAATTGTCAATGTTCATAATGTTTGTCAAATCCTTTGAAAAAATATTATAGAACCATTAACTACAGGATATATGAATTGTGTAGTACATACAAATAATCTGTTAAAATAGTAATATATTTGTACAAATTAATCCATATATTGTTTAGTAAATATAGGGCACTCTTAAACACATGAATACTACAATTTCTGTTACTCAACCTATATCTTGAATATGTATAATCGGATCTGAATTTATCATTTTCCAACAAAAAAAAACACTATTTTCCGAAATAATTGTATGTGCAGTTAAAAGTCCATGGTTTGACACTTTTCAATCTTCATCAATTTATTTGATATCTTAAAAATGACTTTTAGCCCTGTGCTTACCATTTTACCAACCAAATGCATGAGAAGAGTGATGGCTAGAACATTAATAAACAAAATCGCCTACCAGATTTTGAATTATCACTGAGCACAAACAAAATCATCACTATCATAATCAAAGTATTAAATAAATTCATTGAATTCAATAATAGGTAACATTTTTCAAGTGCATCCATAAGTTTACACCATCCTTACTTGTACTTGATTTTTGGATTACCATAAAAGAACTATATATTTAACTATTATAATCATCGTCAGCATCATTTTGATCATATAAATATCATCAACATCACATACCTGTATGTTGTTTTCATAGTCAAATAAACATTTTAATTATTAAAACCATAATATTTCCTATTAATCATTTTAAGCCAATATATCTTATATATATATATGTTGCATCTTAACAAAAACATCATTTAGGTCTCATGCATTGCACTTACTGAAACAGCTTATATTAAGCCCATAAATAAAGATTAATATGCAAAATATACTTAATGGATTCTGAAATTCCACATTTTCCAAGATTATCATATGCTGGACTACTTCTAAATACTGTACCAAAATATGAATGAAAAAACTGCAAAATAAAAAAAATTTACATAACAAAAATACACAGTACTGGTAAACTTCGTCACAAACCATTTACAATTGCAATGACAATACAGTAACTTAAGTTCAAATAACTGGCCATTACTCTGTTACAACATTTAACCTGATGAATGAATACAGTAAACTTTATGAATTGTAGTAGAATCAGTCTTGTGTTGCATTATTCCCAAAAATACAAAAAGAAATGGTTTTTTTTTGACAACAACAGTAGCTATGCTTTCAGGCAAGTAGACACTTTGCTATCATCTCTCCTGTAAGTTGTATGAGTAAATCCGTTTGGAGGAATGATGGGATACATCATAAGCTAAAGATAAAAATTTGTTTTTATTCTTATGTTCAAAACAATAAATGACATCAACAAATAAATATTCTTACTTAAATGCTCCCATTATAAGATGTCAATAATTAGATTTATTAGACAGTTAAATATTTATATGGATAAATAATTTTATTAATTATAATTTAATAAAAACATTAGTAATTGCATAAAAAACACTATTGTATATTAACATTATTAATCATAATAATCCTACTATCAATAATAAATAACAATTATTAAGCTTAATATGACTTTCAACCACAAGAACATCCTATTAAACAAGGAACAAATTCAATTCCAGTAATAATAAACCTCACCTCAAGGTTCAGATTCCAAGCCGAAACAGATGAAACGCTTCTACAATATCTAACAACCCAAATCTAACACAGTTGTTTACTAGGTCAATTTATCATCTGAACAGGGTCTACATAAATAGCATGCTTTTCCACAAAAATATAGCACAATATGCCCACATACACACCATGTTCATATTCCTAACAAAACAAATAGGAGGGCTGTTACCATCATGATTTCTACAATTTAAATCAATAAGTACAACAACATCAGGAAAACAAGGCAATGATGACATCTGTCCTGCTATAGTATTTATAAGTAGAGAAGCCATCAACTGTAGAATATTCAAAATCAAAGTTTAAAATGGTGAAGGCAAGAGAGGGGCTTGTGTCCTCTAAGATTCAGTACTAAAAGATCAAATGCCTTCATGTAAATATAAATATATTTAAAGAAAAATATAATGTTCTTATTAAATCCAAGGGACCATTAGCTCCGTGAGGCTTGAAGTGGAGATGTCCCAAGAAAAAATCCTGATGTTTGCTCTAAAGTCTGCATACCATAACACAATAGTGGATATTATAGCTGTAGCTCTCTATTTTCTGAATTTGTTACAGTTTGACTAAATAACCAAGCTTTACATTATCTTTGGCAGCCAAAAAGTTTAAAATGATACATTAAAATTTATCAAATGAGTTCATACGAGACATCAAATTAAATACAATCAATTAAGTAGAAATGTGGATTTATATATTTCTAATTGCCTATCATGTTTAAACTACAGTTAAACTTGCCTAAGTCGACTGTGCCTTAGTCAAATAATTTCTAAGTCGTTCTTATTTTACATGCCAAATTGTTGTTTTCCATTAATTAACAATCTGCAAGTTGAATCTTATCTAAGTCGAACAATATGTCAATGTCATTTTGGATTCGACTTAGGTAAGTTCAACTGTATCCAATAAATCGCAGAGAATATATGTCGAGGTTTACATCAAAGTAGAATGAACTTTGTATGACAATCTTCGCATTGCAATTCTCTTAGCAGATCCTCCTTTCGCCGGACAAACTCTTCACGTTTTAGTTCACCCCGATTGATATTACCTGTGATATTTTTAAGAGGATTTGCTAGCCTCGCTAAAGCAGACTCTTTTTTGGCTTCCTCAAGATCCTCCAGTATGTTTTCAGAAGCATTATCTGGCATATTCTTCCTGAAAAAACTCACTAGTGAGTTCTCACTATGGGACTTAACTGGAACTTTGAAAATGTCAATTCCCAAAGAAAACTTAGGACTGGTCTGTCTTCCAGACAAATCATCAGAGTTCTGTACATCAACCTCTACGACTCTATCAACATCATCCTCTGGTAACTGATTTGCACATATTCTGACCTCTTCCTTGTACATACCATCTTTTGTAAACTTGACAGAACTATTTGAGAGACTTTTTGTATTTCTGTCGGGATCTGTAGCAAGAATACCACAAGATGGTATAAGTAATTCACCATCTTCGCCGAGCCCGCTGTTTACATAATCTTGTTGGTTTTCCGAACTGACATACATATCTGGAATGTCTTGATTTGATCCGTCATTAGAATTTTGATTATCATTCTGCAGACTATCTTTCTCATTGGTTGACTTTTTAAACCTCATCTTTTGCAATGGGTTGAGTTTTGAGAAGCGATCACCAACATCTTTAAAGGCTTTAGTCACCGAGTGAGTGCCTGAATTTTGAATTCGTTTTTTCTGGTCTGGAAGCACCTTATCTTGTAGCCACATGGTGAATCGCTTTTGTGATGTCATACGGAGCACATGAGGTGAAGACTTACTCGGTGTTCTGCACAAAAATAAAGTCAAAATTTTTATTTTTATATAAAAACTGGATATGGGAAAACCACCAGAATTATGAACAGACATGCACATTCATTTAAAAAACTATCATGTAAGCATATGGGATACCACTTTAAAACAATGGCACTAAGACTAATATACGTTAGTACTATCTTCTTACAGTAAGTATTCTGAGGAAGCGGTTTGGTGCAACGGAACGGTTTGGTTTTCAAACCTCCAGGTCGGGGATTTAATCCCTCGCTGTTTTGCTTGTGTCCTTGAAGAAGGCACTTTATCTGAATTGCTACTATCCAGCCAAGAGTGTAAATGGGTGAAGTTGCCTGTTACTGTGCCAAATATGACAGCAACACTTGTGGACCCAATGACCAGGGAAAACAAAGTGCTTTGTAACCTAAAGGAATAAGTGCTATATAAATACCAAATACCAAATATTCTTACCTGACCATCTTGCCCTCTACCACCTTAAGTCCTAAACTGTTTGCTGCTCTAGCTTGAGCAAACCTCTCTATCACATCTTGCAATGTATCTGTGAATAATAACAGTAATAAAAAAATCTTATTTGATTTGATGACAACTGATAAGATATACACTTTCAGAACAGCGTGATCAGAAATCTTCAAGGAAATTACCCCTTGCCAGTTAATTCACTTTGTACAATAACATATTATTTGACCATTTTAAGAATATTGATGAAATTTCAGCATTAACAATTTCTGGATCCTGCGCAAGTTATGAAAACCCAAGCAGGTTCTCTCAGAAGTATTTGCATGTCCATTTAAAAACATATTCTAAAAAAAAAAAACAATTTTGTTATTCCAGCTCATATTGGTTAAATTACCTAGAGTATCATTGTACGATAGAGAAGCACAGGTTTATATTGTCCTTATTACACTCCTTGTTATTTTCACCCATCACCATCACTGTCATCACATCATCATCATTACTGTATACTGTTACATGTATTTATTGAGATATCATAAAATTACCTTCATTAAGTTGCATCTGGAATCTAGGGAGCGCTTTCAATGTCCGGAAGAATCCTTCCTCACCATTGACTGAATACAGGATTCGTAGACACTTCTCTTTAGAATCACTGAAGAACGTGGCAGCAGATCCTGTTTAAACAAAGATACAAGAACCATATGCATCATTGACGCAACGCTTGAGGCCTGGACCTTTAACTTTGAGGTCATGGGTTCGAAGCTCTTGCAGTGTAAGTTCCTTGTGTCCTTGGAAAAGGTATGTTATCTACATTTGTCTATCCAGGAGTATGGTAAATTTTATGCAGTGTGGCATTGATTGTACTAATTCCGTGTGCTAAGTACACATGCTTATATCACTATCAAAATTATGTGTTAATATACAATAATATATAATGCCCAAGTATTTATATAGCACCAATTCCAATGAACGATCAAAGGCGCTGAGCGTTGTTACACCTGGTCACTGGATAATATACAATGGCAAACCAGCACAAAGTGCAACCTTTTATGCTCCCTGGGGAGTATACCTAGTCATCCGCTACTCATTTAGTGCATGAAACTAGTACATTCAATGCCACAACATCCTACCAGGTACCCATTTATACTCCTGGGTAAGAGAGACAAACGCAGATAAAGTGACTTGCACCAGTGATCTTAACGTCTGATGCAAAACTACATAAGAACCGTGTGCCAGAGCTCGAGCTTAAATTTCCTCCTAAAGTGTAAAACGATAAAAGCGGAAAGGGAGGCGTCAAACAATGGCACTGCTTAAGAGATTGGCCAATAAAGTATGATTTTTAAGTTATTTTAAGTCCACAGATGGCCTTTTTTTGCCTCTGTTGTGTTTTTTTTTCGGTAGCTCCTTGTTGAGGAAAAAAGACGAAAAATCTTATCACAAATCTGGAAAGACACCCAGTCAGACATACATACCCATGCAAATCTCTAGTATCAACGTGATTTTGAATATCTTAAGAGAAATTTCACACTCTCCATGAAAACACCTTCTCTCATTATCAAAAATTGCCTTACACCACAAAATGAAAGGCAGGTGCTAAAGAACAGAATATTTTTTATTTAAATTTTTTTAATCTTTGGAGCTGTGTGGGTGACAAGGTATAATTTTACGAGGACACAGGGATGATGAATCTTCGACAGACTATAATCAGGGGAATTTCAAGGCACTTTTATGATTCTGAGTCGAAGCTGGAGACACCAGTTTTAAAGACCCTGTTGAAAGTTGCTCAAGGAATGCCATGTACATATCCAAAACAGCCCAGAATTAGCTTTTGACATGCATAAAGGAATATGTACAAAATATAATAGCAACCGAAATAAAGAACAGAAGCGGATGTTTCTGAATTGAGGCCAATGAGTTCACAGACTCGTCGAACTGGGAACAACTTGGACTTGTTACAGGATACGTAACAGGAGGGAAGCCCGTTGAAAGGTTTATCGAGTTCATGGATTGTGAAGAATCTATCGGGAAAGCCATGTGACAATCTGGTCGCCTCGTTAAAGACAATCTTGCTGGATCCGGCGAAATATGCAGGGCACAGGCTCCATACTACCATTGTGCAAGCTATGAGCTTAAAACCTGGCATTCTCGCAAGCTTGTAAAGTTACTGAAATCCATAACATGATTTCTGCAAGTCGGTTGGACTGTTATTAAATATTTGCCGAAACTTTTAGAAGATTCCATCATCAATACAGCAGAACGTGTTGCACTCGAAGGTAAGGATGCTAATGATATAAATCCCGACAGAGAAGAATCCAATGAACATAGCGATGACGATGAAAAAGACAAGGATGAAGACGACGAGGATGAAGACGACGAATGCAAATTCCTTAGTGAGGGAAATGAATGTTAAGTAGAAATGCTCGAAAAGAATGTCACCGATGAAAATCCGAAACGCATTACAGCCAAAAAAGATAAAGCCTCTATGTGAAATGTGGGTGGAGTGCCATACTGCCTTTGAGGATTCCAATGACCTGTACCCTTCTCCTAGAGGATTTTGACACAATAGCGTTAAACAAAGGTACGAAGCACAAGTTTTATTATTGCATTCCAAACGGCCCTACACCTCTTTGGCCATACCAAATGCATTAGCAAATCCCTCCAAGGAAGTACTGTAGACGTTATTAGGCTTATAGCCAAATAAGTCTTGGAATGAGTGAATGGAGGAACACAATGGGAAAACATCACTTGCGGAAATTTACAACAAAATCAAAGGTTTGGCTAAAAAAAGCTGGTGCGGAATTGAAGATTCCACGGAGGTGTGCACAGCAGACATTCCGAACAAATGTTAAGGCTAAGGAGGCCACAAACATATTTTCGTCGGCCAATTTTTTTTGCCATTCGTGGATGGACAATAGAAGGAATGAATGACCGATTTGAAGGTGTATCTTCAGATGTCCTCAAAGCGCTAACTCTTAATACCATCCGATTTGGTGAAACTTGATGACAGTGATGAGCTAGTAAAGTGCTATTACCCGGATATTCCTTCTCCATGCACACTGCCACATGAAATTAAACTGCGGAAACAACTGTGATAAGTTTCTGATCATGGTATGTTTATGTACTGACTATCCATGTTATTATTTTCATTTTGTTTATTATGAATAACAATCTATTAGCCACGAGCATACACATAATATTTAAATATTATATTCGTTGCTTTTTCTTTTTTGTCAAAACAGGAGCGATGAACCACTATCCGCCACTAAACATCCGCCAGAAATATGTTACACCGGATTTTAGAACTTAAAGCGGTAAAGCCGGTGACAAGTCCTGGAGTAGAGCGTATCAATTCATCCATTCGCTTCATCAAGTCTGATATCTTGTCTATACAATCCCAATCAAGCAATTAGGCCAATATGACAAAAATTGATTGCCTCAAAGGCCATTTCCGGCATCATGCCCCGCGACGGGATATCTCTGGATCCGCCCGAGTAGAGTGTAAAATAAGTCAGTTCAATTCCCCCATCCCCGTCGGACAAGCCTGGACTCTCCATCGTCTGACGCCACAAGGTCATTGGACCAAAAATAACAATTTGCCTATCCATACGTTTTTTTGATTGCCAATCCTGAATTCCATGACCTTGACCAAGGATCTAGTCAGTTCAGTCCCCTGACTAAACATGTTTGAAACCCATCAGCAAATTTTGGAAATTTAACTGACTTCCAAAAGGGAAAAATAAGTGACAAGCATCAGTCTCAAAACCCTTGATCTATCAATTGGAAGCCAAGAGTCATAGAACTATGCTATATATGTTTATTCAAGTTACAATTTCTTTCAATTTCAAATGTAACACTTTCCAACTATTTAAAAAACGTGGACTTCTTTGAAATGTAATGCTTACCTACATTAATACCATGCATTTCTTTTAATTGTAATACTTACCTATTTCAATTGCCTGCATTTCCTCAATTGGAATTTTCTCATACTCTGTGATCCTTTCTCCATCATCATTATACCTTAAATGGTTTGAAAGAAATGAAGATGATGAGAATGAATATTTAATGGTGATCGTGGATACCATGTAGATGAAGATTCCTAAGGATATACAGTTGCAACAAGATAAACAAACCTTTAAGAAGCTACTCACTTGACAAAGTAATATGTTCTGGTAGTAAGTAACAAAATCACATCTTCCCCTTCATCAAATTCTTCAGATTCACTAGAAGGTAATATACAAACATTTCATAATTATTTTAAACTTATATACTTTCACTTTTACACAGTAGTCCAATTACAAAGCCCTTGTTAACCTCATACCTGGATATAAAATTAATACACCATACACAAAAAGACACTTATATTCAAATTGTCTGAGAGTGCTTTTTCCGGCCATAATCATAAATTTCCTTACCTAATCCTAAACCATGTTAGAGCTGAGGTGAAAGGACCTTCTATCTCAGAAAGTCCCTCCCTAGGCCAACTCTATTTCAAATTCCTGGATCCGCCACTAAAAGCTGGTGGGTATAACATCAAAACAAGCCAGTCGATGGTGGTGTCTCAACTAAATCATTCTTAATGTACAAAGTGTTAAAAATTATTTAACCCACTAACTACATTATGTAGACAGTTGTTTTGATTTTTTTTTAAACTGAAATTGTATCCAATAGACATGAATGTTTTGATAACTTTAATAATCAATTTGTGTGTATTGTGCGTATTAATACTCTACATACTCTACATACAACATGAGTTCATTTACCTGGGTTCGTCACAATCCATCAGAGCCCATCCACCTAAGATGTCTTTGACCTCATTTCGTGGCAGCAGCATTCTCTTGCAATCATCAATGAGGCCTTGGATGTTTTCCTCTTTGTCTAGTTGCCATGTCTTCTCACTCTCTACTTCACCATTATCAGTTGATTCACTAAACATGAGCAAATCTCCCGTTACTGGATTACCTAGCATTATATCTAAGAGAAAATAAATTGAATAAAGCCTCTTGTTTTTCATTGTTGAAATACTCATACAAAAACAAATTTTAGGATCCTATATAGGCTACATTAAATGTTCTTTATTTTGGCCTGCCAAAAGTAAGCAGGCTAAATGATTACTACTTTTTCATGTTTGGCACCACAACACTCATTTTGTGTGGAGGCCTCACATATTTCCCAACACCACCTTACCTATAGTCATTTGTCGATAAGCATCTTTGAAAGTCTTCTGGATATATCTGCTGGCAGAATGGTAACCATCTTTCATTAGGCCAGAGAACTTCCTCTCCCCAGTTCTGGTGAAATCTCCCTTCAAGGCAACTGTCCCAGCATACTGTCTGCTGATTGTGTCTCCATTGTTAGCCCACAACTGTCGAAACGTGTTGCCTAAGACTTCTGGAAGTTCCTCATCAGGTAATAATAGTCCAAGTTTTGTAAGCTGTTGACAATTGGAATGAAGAAAACAAAACTCGCTAAAGATTTACTCACTTATTTTAATAAGGTTTCATGACAGTAATCTATCTATCTATCTATCTATCTAAAATTGCCATCAGGCTTGCCATACCTTTTTTCACCTGCCCCTCCTGTAAATTTTTTTTAACTAGGAAGGGCAAACAAACAATGTTTTAGGCCTTATACCTGATAGTGTAGGAGAATCTTTGCAACAGCTGACTCTACGACATTAGTCCTATCCAGACAATCCATGCAGTTAATACGCAACACACTGTTCTGCTCCAATATCATTCCAGCTTTATCCACCCTATATAATGAAAATGGCATATCATTCATTATAGATAATGAAATGGTCACTAGCTAGCCAACAAAACCCGTCATTTAAGTTTGTTTGGCCTTTTACCCTCGAACCACAAAAATGTCAAGCAAAAATAAGCAATGCATGTTTTGAGATAGGAGCTGCCATGCGTTCTATAGCAACAAGCTAACGTACTTATTACATAATAGACAAAAGGCATACTTACCAAGTGAACTTCATATCTTCCAAAACCCCTTTCAATTTTTCTGTCAAAATTGCAACCCTTTCGAACTTTAAACCTTGGCTGTAAATTAAATAAGATTCCCATATAAGTTGCAAACACCAAGTGCTAAAACTAGATAATGCTATGCTTTGATGCTAAGTGCTCCATGACATCATGTCAGAGCTATTTAAATTTCTGGAGCTTTAGTTTTTCACCATGCATAATTTAATACAGTACTCATTTAAAGTCCAATTAAAATGATGCTTTCTAAGTTGCTGATTAATGAAGTTTTACATATGTTTAACAAATGAGTGGTACTAAAATATTTAATATTTGATTTATAAATATTAAAAATGACGGTTTAAAATATTAGTATAAGCCCCGCCCACTGGAGATGTTCACTGGAGTGTGAGTAGAGCTGATGACGTAGACTCGGTGTAACAATCACAGCCACCTGTTTATGTAATACAAACATCGTATAGCGCGACATATAAAAGAGGTTCAGTTGTGAAGTACTGATCTAAAAAAGGAAGCAAAGAAATGGAGCAGCTTTATCAATTTGAGCCACTAGTTAAAGCGAATTCGGAAAACAAAGAATTGAAGACCAAAAAAAAAAAAACAAATCGATTTGGCACACAGGTTGACCACATTAATGTAACTATATAAAAAAAAATTATCCGGACTGCAGTATATTTGCCTACTGTACGTTTCAAATGAATCAATAATGAACTACAATATTAAACCTTTTAAACTGCAAGCAAAACTCCAGACACAAGGTTGTCAACCCAGGATTTTACAATACCCAGGCTAGAAACTCTGGAGTTGTGGTTGGTGTAAAGGCCAAAAAATGGAGCTTGGTTGCCAAACACCACAGGTTCCATGTGCGGGACGCACTCAGCGTTGGACAACCTGGGCACACACAGGAGTTGCCAGTGTAAACAACACTAAATTTAATTCTGAATTATAGGCTTTACCTGCCGTGGAATGCAGCTGTGGTCAGGTAGGCTTAACCTTTGCTGGCTACGCCAAGACACTTTTAAATTAAACCTCCTGCGCTTCCGCATAGACTTGATAACAAAAATAGCTGATTTAATTCGCATAAATAAAAAAAAATCTGCCAATACATCGCTTCAATATTAAAAATAATTACGGCTCCATCACGACACCAGGAACTTGAGCGAAGTGATGATTACCATCCAAACAAAAAATTGAGGGCTGTATTTGAACCCGCGTTTGTTGCTGGTGTAAAATGGGTGCAACTCGAGATCAATCCAGACTTCGATGTAAATGAAAATTCATCTGGTATCACTCCGGAATTAATGCATGTTTATTTTAACCTTGGCAGAGTAAAAAGGATATATGAGGTAAGGATATGCTAATGGGGCTTTAATGATGCATATTATAGCACTCTGGTTCACTGTTTGCGCATTACTCACCAGTACTCATGGAAGTCAAATGTCACATACGTCAGGTCAGGACTATTTAGCATAATGATGTGCTTCAGGAATGGAAGGCCTACAATGTCCTCTCTACCAGACTGGTTGATAAGATTCACTACAACAACTTGTTTATATATCTTCAGCTGCTCCTCAAAATGCTTCTGGAATGCATGCTGTGTCTCAGTTTCACCTTGCAATGAAAAAAAATAATAATCTTGAGCATTAAAACAATGGTTATAAAAAGTCCATGAGCATTTAAAATTTAAATACCGTAAAGCTAGCTAAATCCTTACATCACAAGTGCATCACTGTGAAGACAGACAAACCATTGTAAAGCATGCCACCCACTGGTTCGTTATTTATTTTGCTCTTTCAACATTGTTTCTGTTATTTATCATAAGGATGAAGCAATTTAATGTTTCATTGGATTGTATTGAGTTTATTTATCAATGTATCCATAACCTAGAATGATCGTAAATGATGGATGCGAGCTGCGAGCCTAGGACCAGCCTATGCTAATGGTCCGTTGCTGCCAGCTTCACAGCGATGAACTTGTGATGTAAGGATAGTTAGCTTTACTGCGTGTAAATTACAAAAGCACATGGGATTCGCAGTCTCATATACAAGGTCAGCTGGGCTTTTAGAAATGGTACTCAAATTATATAAAATCGGGAAACTTTCCCTTTAAGTGGAATGAAAAGGTCATGGGTCAATGTTGGAAAAACTAGAAAAATCACATTATTTAGGATTACCCAATCAGTATTTAATGGATCATCTTAAAAGCTAATGAAGCAGTACATAGTGGTCTAGGAAAGAGGTCATTAAATGTTGGGGTAAGAAGTAAATGTCGAGGCCACAGAAGCCAAATTGGTTTTCTTCTTTATTATTTAGTATTTAGGCACAGGGCTGAGATTTGTATTCTATGGTGCAGCCGCATTCTAAATGCAACAGATGATGCTTGTAACATCACTTACTTTTGTCTATTTTTGGTGGAGGCCTGTATTTGATACCTGCTTGGCTCCAGTGTATTGGAATTGAACCTCGGACTTGCACAAACGACATGCAGTGCTCTGCCACATGCACTATCTGCTCAGTTTCTACATAATTTGCACATGCACCAGTTGAATCTACTCCACGCCTTCTATATCTTGTACCTAATAACATGTAAAATATAAACATACAAGGATTATTAAATGATTTTAATTTTCTTTAAGCCTATATTGTACTTTTTTTTGTGATGCATATGTACAGTGATAATATGTTTTAGTGTATGGGAAGAAAGAGAGGTCAAATTAAATTAACTTTATAAACTAAAACTAATATCCCCATGATGTTGTAATTTGAGTTTAAAATTTATATTTTTTTATAATGTGCATATTGTTCATGTCGTAGAAAGACCAATAGCTTTAATTTTCTTCCAAAAGACAGTGTACTATAACCTGTATTTCACATGGAGAGCAGCTTAATGGATTAGAGCCATGGACTTGGATTGCCATGGTTCAGTGCACACAGTTGGTATCACCAGTTTTACTATAACACAAATGCACTATTTTAATACTGGTGGTAAATATGTTTGTGTAATTCTTGTAACTTTACGCAATATCATTTTAATTATCTCTATTTCTTTTTATATTTTTGTTTCTTTATGCATTTTAAAGCTCTCACTTTTGGTATCTTTGGCACTTACAGTATACTGTGTTTTGTTATTTTATTCAAGAAACAATAGTCATTAAAACAAACACACACAAAACGGGACAGAAACATTTTGAAGATTCAACAATTCGATCAATTTCAAGAATCATGATAAAAAAAAACCTCACCTATCCATTTATATTTACACTATTGCAAAAGTTTATAGCTTAATCATGTAAAAGCAAAATTAAAAGTGTCCAATAAAACTTAAGTGGATATCAATTACATATAAACAATGTAACAGGCACTATAAAAAACAGTGTGTATAAGGAGTCAGGGGATGTTAGCTGAAATTAAAGTCAAAAGGAAGAAAATACACAATTAATGTGGATAAGTAAAACAATATAATTTGCAGTTGGGAGATATGATTAAAAATAATAATTAAAAAAAATAAAATATAAGATAAATAATAATAATCAATAAAAATATTTTTTTTTTTTTTTTTTTTTTTTTTTCCTGAATTTTATTTTTACTGTTAAGCGCATTGAGGCTTTAGCATAATGCGCTATATAAGCCAAAATTATTATTATTATTATTATTATTACTTTAATTATTTTGTAAACATATATGACATGCATTTGAATGATTTAATTACCTGCACGGTATTGATTTCGACGGGAAATCAGAGCGACGGTAAATGTTTCTTGTTCTGTGGAAGTACTTGATGGATTTTCCATGGAGACTGGAAATTCTCCAATTTGTACATAACCTTGAATTATCGGCAGAATCCAATTGGAAGCTAGACTTTGATTCTGAAATAAATATGCTACATACAGTATTTAAAATCGACTTGTATTGAAATACAAATAATTTTGTAATTATTTTTAGTGGTACAGTAGTAGGATTCAAATAGTGTGGTTGTTTATAGAGTAAGTTGTTGGTATTGCTAAACTATTAATTTTAATTTATTATGCTGACTAATTGCATAATTGCAGATAATAAAAGCAGACAGTAGATGTTATCTTTACACCTAAAATGATAGAACTTTAAAATGACACATTTCACTTGGGACAATACTAAATCATAAAAGGTTCTTAAAAAACAACAATTGTAATTACCTAAATATGCAATGTATACATCATGCTTTATTTGATGTTAATTTATAATGTTTAAATTGTTAAAAAATTCCATTTCCAATGTCTTAATGTTTATATTTTGATTGTAACAACACAATTAAACAAGTACTGAAATTACATGACTTTGTCATCATCATTCCTAATGATGACATGATTAATGTCGAAATATTGAATCCCTACACAATAGCATGAATTTTGATACTTGGAGTATGTATTATACAATCTTGAAACTACAGGCAGTATTAAATAAAGTAAACTTTGATCAATATTATGTATAAACGAAAGACAAGTTTTAGCTTTTTCTAGGAAAGATGATTAAGCACTACAAGTCATTCGCCTCTATGATGGTTTTTATTTTTTTTATTTTTTTGTTATTTATATTATTATATATTCTATAGAATCCTATTCTGTACAAGTTACTGTTCTCCCATATGGCCTAGTTAAGAATGCTATATGTTTTTCCTTTCACATCCAACAGAAATTAATTCACCAATTACGTGATGGAACGATGATTTATAAACCAACACTCTTCATGAGGCTCTGGGGGAGTGGAGTTATTTTTAGTCATGACAAATTTAAAAAAGTGATGCTGCCATAGGAATTGAACCCAAGACTATGGGATTAGAACAGGGGTGGGCATAAAAATTGACCGGAGGGCCAAAGTGAATCTTCGATTTAATACCGAGGGCTGCACCCTAACTTTGATGTTTCCAGTGACCTTCCAAAAACCTCCATGCACTGCTTTTACGTCACTTTATTCTTATTTTTAATGTTACTTTTTACATATCGGTGTTGGGCCGTAAAAAACAAGGTGTTTTCTAGCAAACGTTGCTTGGCGGGCCGCACACATAGGGTCATTTATTTTCGTGGGCCGCAAAAGAATCGCTGTCGGGCTGCATGCGACCTGCGGGCCGCACTTTGCCCGCATCTGAATTAGAAGGTAAGCATTTAAACCCTAAGTACCAATTTGATATGAAGTGTTTTTTTTCTTGAGACAAAAGCTTGGTTTAATACAGAATTTAAACCGAAAGGCAAGGCAATAAAAGTTACAGCTCCACTGCAAATATTTATATTTTGGATAACAGATCATACCTCATATTGAAGAACGTCTTGTAACATATGCATATTCCAAAAAAACCGTTGATCATGGGAGCACCATGCTGGCTGGCTGGTGTCTTCATGTTTTCTTTGATTCCTCTGCACTGTGTTTGTGAGATCAAGGGTGTGACTGTAGTAAAACCAACCTACACATTCACAAATTATAATAAGTTTTAATATGGAAATCAATTATCACATAATCATAAAACATCTAGTCTTTCATTCACTGCAAAACAAAATTCCACAGCCAGGATTTTAATCCAAAAGTTAAATCTTTATTACTTAAAATTTAAAAATTCCTTTTAAGTAACTAGTCCTTAAACACTAGTTTTACCATATTAGCATTCAATTTCTGCAAGAAAAGGTCAGTGTCGAGCAAATTAAATTTTACCCTCGAAAGAAATTATGGAATTGCCCAAGTATTCTGGCAGCATTCGAGAAAACAATGTGCTTGAATACGACGGGCAACTCCACTATTTTCCTGAGGGTATTTGCAGCACTCAAGAAAATAATGTGCCTGAAAATTAGGGGCGAATCCATTATTATTTTATTGAGGGTATGCTACAGTTTCTCCCATTATACACAGCCTGCATATAATTGTTGGTACTGTATTCAGGCACAGGGTGGAGTTATGCACTCTATGCCATAACTGCTCTAGTTCTTATATGGAGTGTTTTAACAGATTCTATTATTTTTAGGTAAGTTTGAATATAGAATTACAGTATTGGCATTTTTTTAGCTAATCTGGGCATTGTCACTAGTACCGGTGTTCATAATAGACATAATGAGAATATAAGCATGTTACCTGAGCCAGCAAACATTTTGTAAAGTTCATCAAGAATTCGTTTTTCATGCTTTTCTTTTTCCTTTACTTCTTTCTGTATGCAGGATGAAAATTCAACAATTCAACAAAATAAAATTGAATGATTTATATATTAAAAAAATGATTCATACAAATCTAAAATGGTTTCAAATAAAAATACTGGCATGGTCATAAAAGACTTTTTTTTAAAATTTGGTTAAGGCTATATAATACAAATAATTGTATCATAAATGTATATAAAACTATGAAGATTAACCCTAAAGCTGTGCATGTCATATTACCCACACCATAATAATAGATCATAAATTTCAATACCTGTTTAATCTGAGTTGCTTTTTTCAATGAGTTTCCAATCTTATCGAAAACCTTCTCATTTACTGGTCCAGATATTTTCTTTGACTTCTTTATCCCAAAATGATGTTTTTCACATAGCTGCATAGAGAAATGCGAGTTTTTAGTAGGTTGGTTTCATACAGTAAAAACACTCATTGGATTTAATATATACTTCACCTGTTGTACTTTAGACTTGATACATAAAAAATGCAAACACCTTTTTGGTAAAGTGCTCTCCATCTTATGGATCTACAATTAGTACATAGCTATTCACTTAATGTTATGTATGTTATGTATTGAATGTTATGTAATTGCACACTTGTGTTACAATGAAGAAAAAAACACTATGTAACTCAAGGCTATAATAAAGAGTGGTTGTTTTTTCAATAGGGGATCTTTACTATAACAGCTTTTGTTACTTAAATTGTATTCAAATTGCTTCCTATTTCATAGGAGTGGAAATAAATAAAGGGAAAAGAATTATGGGCTGTATCTCATCATCTATAGCATTTACAGAAATAATTAGAAATTTTGATTAAATAGTTCAGTAGCCCCAGATATGTATTTCTTGGAGATGTATTTGAGCATTCAGTAAGTTCTTCAATGTGAGCATGGTTTGGATAAAATATGTTCATATGAGATGTTTAAAGGAATCAAATTTATTTAATTAAAGTTAACTCTTGATATACCAATAAAAGTAATTAAATAGTAGATTGCTACATTTCAGCTACTGTATGGTTTCAAATTTCTTAGCCAATCAGCCAACACCCACTTTATATTATGTGCATGAAATCTATTACAGTACTAACAATTTAAAACGTAAACAAACATATAAAGACTTTTCTTCTGTAAATAGTGCTAATTAATGAATAAGTATGTCTCATCATTTCATCTACTACAGTACTAGCAGGACACTGCATATTGAAGGCCTTAATATGATGTACCAGTTGAGTGCTGGTGATTTTTGAGATGGCAACTGACTATAAGAACTTGTCTGTCTGCTCGTATTTCAGCTTGAAATTGGGAAAAAAAAAAAAACATTGCAATACTGGCTCTTTATAATGACCATTGTATGATAATGTTTGCAAAGATTAATATAATCCACCCTTCAGTTAAGAGCCTTCAGTAAACAAAGTTTGTAAACACTTCAGTAATAAAACCAGAAAAATAAAATTTTAATAAAAAAAAAATGAAAATCTACGATAGTATTCAATCAAAACATTCTGTGGTGATACACCTTTATGGGGCTTTCAAAAAATTGGATAAACTTGCAAGCCATGCATGAAAAGTTTGTCCACATACACGGTAGTTAACAATACACATTCTTGCATATCATGGAAGGTATATTTTTTGAAAATTATTGTACCAGGAAATTAAAAAAAGAAGATAGTGTATAATGAACATTAGTAAAAATGTGACCTATTTGCGATGGTCAATTTTATTTATTGCCATCCAGTTGCAAACCACTGTTTTTCACAAAGTATTCAGAAAGACTAGTGATGTAAGGACTACAGTTAAATTTTCAAACAGTTTTTACAACAAAACTTTGAATGTTGAAGATAACATCACTATCAGTAGCTTTCTTAGGTAGATTCAATAGGCGGCTGGAGCCCCCTTAATTTTTTAATTTAAAAAATATGAGAAAAAATGAATATCATATTCAAATCTAACCCTGAGAGTGCCACTTAGAGATGTCATAACCATAAAACTTTTTACCTCAACCCAACAATTTACATTTTAACCTTGAACTTTGGTCACATTTTGGTTAAGAGCTATGCTATACACAACAAAAGTAACAGTAGGTTTAGATTTTACAATCTGCGGGTATAAAAAAAACTCACTAACTGTACTAGACTTGCACAAGTCTCTAATTTATTGATTTTCCTAGTATTAGATAATTTAGGAAAGTGTCACCAGCAGCTGTTTATGTTGACTAAACTTGTTATGTTTTTGAATTTGGAAGCATTTTATTAACACGTCAGGGGTGGATCCAGTAGGGGGAACATCCCCCTCCTCTGTTTTGCCACCAAATTTTAAATGCAAATGAATGTTTATGTGCTACTCATTTACCTATTCTGAGATTGACATTTCGAAAGTTGTTGCCTTGACACTTATGGGCCACCGTAGCATAGAGATAAAATAACAATATGCATCAGACTAAAATTAGCTTACCTGAAGTTGAAGATTTTCAGTTGACTCGGCCACAGACAGCGGAATAATGCAAATGTCAGTGATGCCGTATACAGCATGACCTCCAGCTAAATGTCCCACTAAGCGTTTGTCTCGGATCACAAGCAGCTTCCAATCAGACTCTACCGTTTAAATTAAGAATAAATTAATGTGTCAGTCAAATGTATTAATATGGCAAATAGTATTTTGAACAATGCCTACTGTACAGCATAAAACACATTCAGGTTCCTGGTGGAGCATCTCATACTTTTTCACTGATGCACACCTGTAGTGCACATGAACCATTGTGTACACTGGGTCTATACTGTAGGGCTTATAGTGCTTATCCGGGAACATGTTTCACCACCAGAGCCATAAATAAGTCTACTGCTCATACCAGTGCATAAGTAGGTTGAGGTGCACTAGTATTTAATTCGACATTTTGTGAGGTACTGTATGTCACCATTACTGCAAGTTCGTCTAAAACATTATCATGTTGGTGTAAAAAGGAGCTGGTGTCTGTGATACCTCATTTTTTGTTATGGAGAACAAAAAAATTAAGTTATCATAAAAGAGATGTAACAGCTGCTGTAATTGGAATTGTGAAGAAGATAGATAATTGTCTCTTGAGAACATATTTTATATTTAGATACATTAATAATCATCAGTAATGACAACATTTGACTTCAACTTTCCACTCATACAGTACAACAGCTTTTTAATATGCATTTATATATGACCTCATGACACAGGCTTTTGTAAATTCTGAGGTCAATATTACAATAGCTGATGGAGCTTTACTGCAGAAAACATAACTCAACACGCAAAAAAATTCAGAGACAACAAAGCCCTTTATTATTTTGTCATTTACTATCTAAAAAAAATGATTAACAAGAATCACCCTGCTGAATATTCATTAATGCCACCATGAGCATCCTCCTTCCTGCCTTGTTCCTGAATTTCCAACTGTCATTGTCTAACTGTACTGTATCCTACTTTGCCCTAAAAAAGTTTGTGTTGCAGTATACTTGTTACATGTATATAAAATATATAAATGTAAAATGTTGCCTTCACTAGCATGCTGTCTAGGAAATTCAATTCAACTCAGAATATAATGTTGTTAGGCCAAATAAAATTAATTTGATTTGAAATTATTTTTTGGTGAGGGTATATAGTACTATTTGCTTTTAACTATACTATATACTAATAGTACAGTAAACAAGCTGGTAAATAGTAATTTTTTTTTTTTTTTTTTTTTTTTTTTTTTTTTATAAAAGAAGTAAATGAACCTTTGTTTAATGTATTTCTGCCATTTATGTTCCCATCTCTTCTTAGGCTTGACATCACTTTTTCAGATAGTCATTATTTTTATTGTCCATGGTAAAATATGTTTTTTTTGTTGTTTTTTTTTTGAAAAATAGCAAATAGTAAATTTTTTCATGAGGCTCCAAAATTTGATGAGGGTGGGGATGTGAACTCGCAATTAATTTTATTTTCCCTTATATACTAAACATCATTGCATGTAGTGTGGTTAATTGGCAATAGAATAGAAGAGAGCAGAATAACTGAGGCTGACTCTAGATGTAAACTGCCAACTGGCATTTTTTATAGTACAGTAAAGTTACAGTAAAGGTTTTATTTGTTAAGTTTTGTTGTGTGGCTGGGTGTTAGGCCACCACTTGGTGCAACAACTTTGAAGCATACCCCATAATATTCACTTACTCTAAATTTCCCATCAATTAAATATTATACCCCACCCGTGCAGAAGTCGACCTGGCCGTAATTACTAATTTACCGACCATGTGACAACTGGACAAGTACTGGCTGTTGCTGTCCCACCCTCACTATCGTACTGTCTGCAATAACATGCAAGATGTCCCACGCTAATATGGTACATAAATGATATAGCTGTAAAGCAACATTACTCCTCACTGTACAAGCACGTGTTTAATTTAAGTGAAAGCTACAGAAGAAGCAGAACGGATGGAGTGGAGAAATATGACATAATATTGTAAACACAGTAAAGAAGCCCGACTCGTACTAAAACCAGTTACATGAACAACGATGTACTGTACTTGTAGCATTGTATGTGTGCACTCGATGTAAACAAGCATATATTGCACTATTTTTGGCCAAAAACATTGAATAACAACTTGACTTTGACTGTTTTTAAAATAATTTTCTGGACTTATTTGTGCATCAAGCCTCTTAGTTTTTACAGCCAGGCCTTATTGAAGACTGAGCCAGTAATTCTAGGCAAATAATTGCGTCGCATTTTATTGTGATGCATCTGTGAAAGCTACTTCGCAATTAGTTTAAAAAGTGTCGCATTTGGCGATGCGATACTGGGTACTATTGTTCACACATTTGTTTGTATCATTGCATACACTATGATGCAATTCATACTGAATGAAGCTGCAGGAAACTGACATGTAACCGTGTCTAATGAACATTTACAAATGATATGCCATACAGTACTGTACATCAGAGAATCATACAAAATAGACATTGTTTACACTTGAAATATGTATACGTGTGTATTAGTTAATTTTGAGTTCTAATTAAATCATAACTTTAAAATGATGAATAAAGAAAGCCTTATCAATTCAGTGGAACTATCATTGAATATCTACTCAATACCATAATGATTACCTGCACTATCATATTTTCCTTTCCTTCGACTTACAGTAAAGTCTAAAATAAAACTATATAAATTGAAAACAATAAATAACAAGAAGGTCATAAGGTTAGTGCTGGTGAAAAAGATTAATACTTGTAATACAGTATGTTATGAAATGATATTTGCCCTACCTGACATGTAATAAGAACTGAATGCTCAGTACACTCCTAAATACTTCGGGTGGGAATTCACTTGCGAGATCTTTTTTTGAAAGTGGTCCAGGGGGCGAAAGCCCCAAAAATTTTACAATTTAGGGGTTTCAAAGGAATGTTTAATCGATTTTAGATATGTAGAAAACACAATTTTTTGTATTTTATATAAAAAATATAATTTTTTTATTCTTCCCGACGAATTGTGCTTTTTCTCCCTGACAGGTGCATTTAGTACTTTATTTTGTATTATTTCTCATGACGCAAAAAGTCATTGGAATACTACTATGTTTTTAACTATTTATATTATTATTTGATAGAGGGTTGGTGCAGGGGGGAGAGAACCCCTTCCCCGTCAGGGAGAAAAAGCACACGTGGGAATTCGTCCCCCGCTTCCTTGGGCAAATCCTGGCACCACCCGATTTGATCGCTTAGCTTCAAAACACATTTCTGTCATATTTATTTTATATGATAGACTGAATAAAAAAAAAAACATTTAGTACTTTATTTTGTATTATTTCTCGTGACGCAAAAAGTCATTGGAATACTACTATTTTTTTAACTATTTATATTATTATTTGATAGAGGGTTGGTGCAGGGGGGGAGAGAACCCCTTCCCCGTCAGGGAGAAAAAGCACACGTGGGAATTCATCCCCCGCTTCCTTGGGCAAATCCTGGCGCCACCCGATTTGATCGCTTAGCTTCAAAACACATTTCTGTCATATTTATTTTATATGATAGACTGAATAAAAAAAAAAAGCATTTAGTACTTTATTTTGTATTATTTCTCGTGACGCAAAAAGTCATTGGAATACTACTATTTTTTTAACTATTTATATTATTATTTGATAGAGGGTTGGTGCAGGGGGGAGAGAACCCCCTCCTCGTCAGGGAGAAAAAGCACACGTGGGAATTCGTCGCCCGCTTCCTTGGGCAAATCCTGGCGCCACCCGATTTGATCGCTTAGCTTCAAAACACATTTCTGTCATATTTATTTTATATGATAGACTGAATAAATTTAATTGAATTAAATAGGTTGAACTGTCTGCAGTGGTCAACAAGAATATATTTTCCTGATAGAAGAGTTCATTTGGGAATTCAAATGTGAAGTAACTATGATACTGTGGGAGCAGATATGTTGTATGCTCAACATGCACAAAGTAATCCATGTACCTCTCCACTACACCCCCCCCCCCCCATTTTGGCACTAAATTTTAAAAATTTCAATGCATATTAATGCTATGTGCTACTCACTTAATATCTATTCTGAACCTGTTGTGCCCCCACGTTTAAAAGATTCTGGATCTTCCCCTGCATTTTAATCACACAAATCTAATCTGCACAGTATATTCCCTAATGTAATAAATTCTGAATTTTAATTTTAAATGTTCTTTGTCCAATCAATTTCCGTCAAGTAGACTTCCTCTACAGTACCATGGCTTGGATAGCTATTGTGCCTTCAGAAAGTCAATGCTTTTTTTAAGTCCACAAATAATATTGTACAGTTTAGATTAAAAATTACATAAATGCACTTGTGTCAACTGTTGCATGTAAAATATTGTGCGATTTTATGCCACATTTAATCCAACGGAAAAAAGTACAGTGTCATTTACTGTTACTGATAAACCGCTATATTCTGTGCAACCTTTTCAGCCGACAATTCAATTGTTGGGCACATCCGCTGCAAACCATTAATCCCAGCCTAAATTGATTACCAGAATTCAATGCCAAAAATGATTGAACATGCTGTTCTTATGTTTGATCATTTTCTTTATACTGAACTTCTTAGTTACTTCCATGCCTTAATTAGTTCAATTTTATGTTAAAGTACAAAAAATATATCCACAATCATACAAGTTGTATGATTTTCATTTTGCTTTGATCTTCCCCATAGTACACAAAATTTATGTGCAAGTAGTGGCGGTAATCAAGAACCACCACCCACTTCGTTTTTGTCCACCATCGTTAAATACGGTATCACAAAATCTGGACTCAAAAACTAAAAAAAACTCTTTTTTTCAATGAGTTACATACGTACAAATCTTAAAATTTTATACCAGAAAGTATATGAAAAAAATAGTATTATTTTAACATTTTACACTACAGTATTGACGGGGAAAATGTTTTTACGCTATAATTTTCTGACAAAATCATATTGCTGAAATGTACACAACTAAAAATCAACATTCCGTGGCAATAAGGCTGTATCACTCTTCGTCAGAATTGAAACATTGTTACACAGATAATGTATACAGTACGTCACGTTAAGGTTGTCTTGAATTCATCAAAAAGTATGCTTCTACTGAATCTGACACAGGTTCCCTGCTACCCCCGAAAAAGAATAATACCCCAAAAAAAAATAAGAAAGAAGGAAGCAGGAACATCATTTAAAACATGTCTTAACCAAGTAAGTTATAATTTTACAAACATTAAAAAATTGACAAGACATGAATCATGGCAATATTATGCAAATGCCATGCATATTAGAATCATCAAGCTAATGAACTTCAGTACTATATGTTCTTATGGAATTGTCGCCATATGTAAAGCATGGGAAAGTTAACTTCTTTATGACCTGAAGAGATTGTGCAACCCTCAATAGTTCTCCTCGACCCAAACATTGTTGTTGCCACCAAACGATGCAGAACAATGGTTTAAATGTTATAATGGTATAAGGCTTTGATTATTTATTTATTTATTCACGAAAAACAACAGCGGACACAAATCCGCCACTTACAGTATGGTTAACAAAGGACAAGATGACGGAAACAGAAACACAAACAAAATTAATTTTAACTAATCACGGCTAAAACACTACGACAAAAAATGTGCAGATTGGAGTTAAATAAATCTAAAGACGGATAGTCCTGAACTAACTTGTTATACGAGGAACTTACTCTACTAATAAACCCGTTTTTTAAAATATTGACTCTACTTAAAGGAACGTAAAGAACATCATTATTTCTTAAAATACGGACAGGAACACGAAGGGCAAAATTAGATACTAATTCACAATCAAAGATAGAAGTCAAACATTTAAAAAGAAATATAAGGTCATTAAAATTTCTACGGGACTGGGGTGATTTAATTGAAAACTTAAAACTAATATTAGTCTGATTGTGACTGATGTAGCGCAAAAACCGGGAATGAAGGCGTTCAATACGTGAAGCCTGAGTTTTTGAGATACTGTAGAGTTATAAATGACGGAACAAAAATCTAATTTAGGTTGAATAAGTGTAATGTACAGGTATGCTTTAGAATGTGGGTCCAGATATTTACAGTTGCGCCACATCAATCCAAGCAACATATTGCATTTCCTAAGATGGTCTATATGAAAAGAAAAAGTAAGAGAGCTATCTAAAATAACTCCAAGAACACGATGTTGCAGCACCTTATTAATCGGTTTGTCGTCAACTAAATAAATATAATCGATTTTATTTTTCTTTAAAGTAATAATAGTTAAGGTATTGCACATAAGTGGATTGAGTACCATACCCTATAACTTAGACCAAGCGCAGAGTTTGTTTAGGTCTCCCTGAAGCTTTTTGGCGTCCTCAAGACATTTAATTGTTTTACAAATTTTCAAGTCATCTGCAAACATAAGACATTTTGAATGTTTGAATAAAAGCGGGATGTCATTCACATACAAATTAAAAAGAAGAGGTCCTAAAATGGAACCTTGGGGGACGCCAGATTGGACTGGAAGCCAACCCGACGTCTCTCCATCCATGACTACATTAAATGAAAGAATAACTACTTACCAGGAGAAACTCTCACTTTTCCAATCACTCCTTCAACTTTTCCTAGACAAACTGGATTCCAAGCATTGGCTACAGCTGAACCTACATAGGACGAATAATTTTTTTTTTTTTAATGTTGCACTCTTAAGATTTCCAGTGAAATTTTTTTTTTCAAAAAAAGGAAAAAATAAATATTAAGCAATCAATTAAAATTGATTTGGTCTAAAATACACAAAAAATAATGAAAACATAAAAGACAAACATATAGAATACACCAGTCCCAGACTGCCTTGGCAAATGGTTATTTCAAAAAATAATTATGTATATATCTGCAGTGGTTCGAATGGCACGCTCGCCTATGATTCTGGTAGTGGAACAAGTCTTCCCGGTTAAGGACTGTAAACCACAGGCCCAGTGTACATAATTTAGCTCATGTGCGCTTTAAAGAACCCAGTACATCTTTCGAGACAAGTAGGAGGTTACCCCGGTGTACTGGTACATTCAGCCACTGCTGTGGACAGACGAGAGTAACTACCGGATTACCGGATACTGTACTGTAGCTCAGACATTAACGGCAGTTTGGCGCAGTGGTTGAGGTTTGGCATTTCAATCGTAAGGTTGGGGTTTCGAGTCTCCGCTGTGCAGATTCGCTTGTGTCCTTGGGTAAGGCACTTCAGCTACTGTAAATTGCTTCAGTCCACCCAGTTATATCAATGGGTACCATCAAACTGCTGGGGACTAACCTGCTACTGACTAGTGTCCTGTCCAGGGGAAGTACAGCTGCCATCCGCTTCACACTACAGAAACTGGGGATAAGCTCCAGCCCTATAAGCCCTAGTGGCTTGGAAAGAATTTAGTTTTTTTTTTAGTAGCTCAGATACAAAGAGACGGGAGAGGCAAGTTACAGTAAAAGCCAGCCACACCTTGAGCGCTTTGAGACCGTTTCGGTGTATTTAGCGCTATATAAATCTAACTACATTACAACATTAAATTAATCGGTGTTTGTGATGGGTTACAGGTTACTGACGTATGTATGAGAAAAAAATAAAACAACATGATCTGATCACTAGCACTGCCTGCTCAGACTATAATTAATTTGAGCATCACCAGGATTCTGGGATGTTCCTTATTTCTACCAGTATATTTAACAAATCTTGATGCTGGATGCTTGGAACTTGTCACAATTCTGTCTGTTTTTGTGAAAAAAACCAATACCGTAGTAGCATTGTTGCTCAGTGGCAGTCATTTCAGTGTTCAAGAGTGAATGCTGTGCCCTTCCTTTATATAACACCTGGCACAAATGCATTGACTACTATTGATTTTGTTAAGGTCTAGACTAAATACTAATCTTGCAAAACTGGCAGGAAACCTCTCATAACGGATTACAGTTGCCATTAAATTAATTATTCACCTGAAGCACCATTCAAAACCGATCTTCACTTAGTTTATATTAAATATCAAGATTTTTTGTGTACTTAGATTTTGTGTGCCATGAGCATATGTTGTCAACACCACAAATAGCACTTTCAGGGGTTGCAAGTTTTGTGGGAGTCTTCCCAGAAATCAGGATGTTGCTATTTAATGTATCTTAAGGATAAATCTCATGATTTTTGCTTAATCTTTACTGACCAGACACTTTGTAATCATGATCCAGTGTACAGTATACAAGGCCAGCATGACTTTGCTGCACTTGCATCCACATCTCTCGCACACCACTCACGGAGAGGCTATGTTGTCGCCGGGCAAAATATTGAAAAATAACCTTTGATTTTATAACCTTGAGGTTTTTTTCGTAGTATTTATTGCAAAAAGACAATACTGTATAATTAGTGTGCTTAAATGCAATTTTCTTTGTAAACTGGGAAAACATTGAGAAAATATGAGAAAAAAATTGGCCGGGAGTCAGGTCACCAAAACGGGAGTGTTGGTACGTGTGATGGTGATATATAAACGCATTAAATAATTTGTAACAATTTCTGTGAGTTCTGTCACTGGGCAATTTCAACAGCACCAAGCAAGCTTCACACAATTACGGCATTACTGTACAGTACAGGTAGTAGACTACGTGTATGTCAATTTGATTACGGCGAGTCTTGGATGCTTGTTGGTAAAACAAGACAATGTTACATTAGTTTGAATAAAATTAATGACCCTGAAAAAATGGCCAATTGATTTAAGAAAGGCTATAGGAACTGATAGTCACGTACATTAATTTATTAATCTCTATTGAAGGTCATTAAGTATTGTAATAATAGTTTACAGATAATTAGCAGGTCATGAATCTACTTTCCAAAAAATAATTGGGCACACTTTAATCCAAAACCTTTATGACTGTATTGAAAAAATCCAAAAGGAAAACTCAAAGGAGAACTATCAGTCATGATTTTAATTCCACATTTGAACTGCTTAATTTCTTATACTGTATTTAAGTACAGTAATTTATTACCATATATACTCGAGTATTAAACAAGGCTTAAAATAGCAAATTACAATCGAAAAACAGGGGTACGCACGACATACACATTTAAGAGGTTTAAAGTAATATGTGCGGATTTAACTACAATGAAGCTACTAAATGTTAGTATGAATGAACATTTATATTATAAATATTTTGATGAACATATTAAAAACTCATAAAATGATATTATTTGGAAGATTGGCCTTGCATTTGGCTTCGTTTTTAGTTAGAGATGCAGTATCAGGACCACAAACAGAAAAAAAGAGGAATTCTGACCATAAAACAGGGGTCGTCTTATATGCCCGACATACAAAACTCATCCAACCATCTTCTCAAACTCAGGGGCCATCATTACGTGTGTCGCCTATACACGAGTATATACAGTAGGGTAACTAAAATTCAAAATTTGAATTAAAAAAGAAATCCTCTGCCAATTTTTGGACAGTTAATGTATTCCCTGTATTCTTTTACAGGACTGGCTATCAATCAATTTTAAGGATTTTTGTAGCACTGTCTTTTCTTTGATCTGTTTCTGGTTGGTGGAAGCTAATTAATTTCTAATATCAAATGAGCTACTCAAAATTTTATTGGCATTTTTACGGTATTTTCCTGTCTTTTCTGACTGACAAACATATTTAATATTATGTTGCATTCAATCAGGGAGAAAAGAAAAAATGATAAGGCCTTGTAAAAAAATGTTTAGCTTGCCTCCTAAATTTTACACACAAGGACCCAATGATTCATAAGAATAATTGGGTCAAATAACAAGGCCAAAAAAATTAACTGTTAGTTGCATGTCTGGGATTTGGAATCTTTTTTTTTGGTGAGGGTATACTACTGCATTGCTACAGTACTTACTATTCTACGGTATCTACAGTGACCCTCCAATTCGATTTCAAGACCCTCCAATTCCCAGACACCTGTAATTTGTGGAGACCCAACCCCCAGTTCACCCCAAATTTTCAAGTCCCAAAGTGGCCTTGAATTGGAGACAAACTGTAAAGTACTTGTAGTAAGAAGGCTGGTTAAATAAAAATAGTTTTTATAAAAACAAAAAAAAATTAAACGAATGCAACTTAGGGAACAATCTGAAATTTATTATAAAATATTAGGCATTTTATAAATTTAATGATGGAACTTGTGCAATCTTCTGTATGTATTCTATTGTTTATATTTTTGTATTAGAATTTTGAAAAAAAAAACCATAAATGCATAATAATGTATCACATCTTTTTTTTTTTCATTTTCAAGAGGGCTATAGTTTGATATTTTTTCCATGAATGTTTATTTAAAGGCTTGCACATTCTAAGTTCACATAAAAATTGTATACACTAGTACGGCATGCCAAAGTCAAAATCAAACTTTATATCCTTCCCATAAATACAAAATAACAATTTTATTTTCAACATTTCGGGGGTGGAGGCACACTTCCCTTGAGCACCCCCTAGTCTCCCAAATCTTGAGTTCCAGGGGTTGGAATATCCTTACTTGACCTATCTCTCAATATACAAACAAACATAGAATACTTTATATACTAAAAATATTGGAGCTATAAATACAAATGAGTAAGTACAGTAGCACCTTGTTTAGAATAACAAAATTTTATTGAGACAACCTTTCCCTTGATTGAGCTAGCTTCATCAGGTGAGTGATGAATTAACAAGCTACTGTAGCTCAAGCTTGTGTGTCAATAAATTTAGAATTAGTTTATAATTCTGCACACCTTTTTTCCTACTAGCAAACACAAGTTAGTTTTCAAAGTATCCCAAGTTTTGAGCAAATAAAATAATTACAGTGTGGTGCATATCCTATCAGAATCAGAAAAAAATTAATTAATTTTGTTTGTCTTTCTCAAATGTATGCCATTTTCCTTGCACATAGAAATGAATGTCATTATGGCTGCAAACCATGTCTGTAATGCACTAACATAACATCCAGAGAATCAGGAAATTATAATTTTATTTTTTTTTTTTTTTAACTTTAAAAGTGTACATACTTGTTTCTTGTATGTTATGGCCTTGGCCTAGACTTAGGCAATTTTCTTGGCGAATTGACATTTTATAATAAACATGTTTTTTACCATTCCCACAGTATTTTTACTGTACTATTATTAATAAAGTCAACACAAATATTTAGTATATTACTATCAACAGTACTTATTATTTATTCATTGAATCGAGGTAATATTTAAAAACACTATAGATAATATGCCTAAAATGTGTTCCATACTATTGTGGCCGAAATGGTCCTAGCCTACACCACCTCACAGGTAACTCATACTTTAAATGCCAACTCGTACCCATTCCAACTTGTACCCAAATTTAGATATACTCGTGCCCAGCATTGGCTATACTCGTACCCACCTGTATTCGTACCTTTCCTTTATCGTAATAAAACAAAATCTAATATAAAATACATCTTATTAACTATAACTCTATACTATACAACAATTTTTTTTATTAATAAAAAAATTCTTATTATTAAAATACTTGAGTGCTTATCTACGTCTCTGTAACTACTACTGCAATACTGTAGCGCCCCACCCACGTTATAGTTTTGACGACAACCATCGTGAATTTATAAATTTTATTCCTTCTTCTGTATCAAAATCTTCTAATTAGAAAGTTTGTTCTTACAAAAATAGGACTGAAATAAAGGTGGGCGTGACCCACACGGAAGAAAAAAATTGTCAGTTCAGAATTCATTCTGTTAGTTATTAGGGGCTTTGTTTGTCGGGTTTTTTTTCATAATGTGGTATACATTCCAGTGTACAACAATCGAGTAAAGGAGATTGCATTAATGTAAAATATATTATAAACAAATAGATTCAGGACGACCAATTATCCGAAGTCAAGAATTAGATTCCATTGGGATACGAGCGAAATATAAACAAACAGATCAAGATTCAAAAATATTTATTTATAATACATTTTTATTTATGACACATCTACTCACTTCGGGACCACTCATTTTATTAACATTGTATGTAGATAAATTTGTCGACTGCTTCCTGAACCACTGTAGGGCTAACGGTACAGTACCGTATTTATAGTGTATTGTCATATACATCAGCCCTGTATACATAAACCATTACTGTTACTTTATCAAGATACATCCTTTGTGTTTATGCTAATTAATATATCAAACTATGTAAGATATCACAATAAAGATGGTGGCAAGGACGATTAAAATTTTCAAGAAGAAATAATGACGTTAACTCTTGTTTTCTGTCACTTGTGATTAGTCTCACAAAAAATATGCCTAAAAATCAGCAACAGCAACACCATGAAGCAATGATGATAAGTGTACTAATTTTTTTTTTAATTAACTTTCTATAAACTGATCTCTTGCATACTTGACACATTAATTATCATAAACAGTAAGGGCGTATTTTCTTATGAAATAACAATTGGTTTATATAGCTGTACAGAGCTGATGCATGCTAATTAGCAGACGTTACTTATAAAATATACTCTACATGGTAAAATTTAGGCCAATTTATTAGCTCAGGACATAGTAAATTAATAATAATAATAATAATAATAATAATAATAATAATAATAATAATAATAATAATAATAATGAAGTGAGTAATATTTGATAAAAAAAATTAAAATTTTTTTAGTTTTATAGTTGTCCTACTCTGGTAACCCAATGGAGTTTTATACTTTACTTCGACAATTCTGTATTTATCACTTCTCATCACATATTTTATATTAATCTTCTTTTATTTCATTAATGTACACTGAAATACAAAAACCTGTATGAGCATTGAAAGAAATAGAAAAATAGAATAAATATATCTAACAATACATTAATACAAATACTGTATACAATTTAAATACTCATTTTGTTTTAAAATGTAGAATAAGTTTTATCGTTGATGTGGTACTGTAGTACATCTTGAGTGATGCTATGAAACGAAAAGATATGAAGGTCATGGTTGAATGCATTTCTGCTGACACGTCAGTGCGTTATAGATCCAAAATGTCAATGCATTACTTACCAAGACACGACAGGCAAAACCAACAACCAAACAAAAAACAACATATATCAATTTGGACAATTATCATTCTAAAAGTTGATTTCTATTGATTATTAAGCAGTTTTCTACTATCGTGTGGTAATATTTTTATCATTTTTGCATCCGTGTGGTTATGCGTGGTAGCGTGTGGTATTTTGTAGGATCCTACGATGTAACGATTTAGATTTTATTTTAGCCATTCCCTCCTGCGAGTAGGTTACAGCAGGGAGTTGTTATAGTGTCACTATAACCGGTCCTACTAAATACCACACGGAACCACTCGCGACCACACGGGACCACTCGCGACCACACGGGTGCAAAAATAATAAAAATATTACCACACGAGAGTAGAAAACTACTTAATAATCAATAGAAACCAACTTTTAGTACGGTAATTATCCAATATATGGTAAAAATGATTTTTTTACAGGTTTTTCCGCCGTGATTCGGAAGGTAATGCGGGGACATTGAGGTTCTGTAACGCATTCACGTCTCCAGAAACGCGTTCAACCTTGACCTCTAAAACATTCACTACGTACAGTAGGCCTACGTTACATTTCATCCTGCGTGTATGCCTATTGTATGTATAGGCCTATTCCTGATGATTACATAATTAATGTCGAAATATTGAATCCCAACACGATGGCGTGT